ATTTCCCAAAGTCTGGATTTTGCTGGCCAGCAATTTTAAATTAAAGCTTTTATGATCAATAAATCACATTTCCAGTCCCTGGGTGCTAACACTGGATCCAACCCCAAAATAATATGCAATAAGATTTGTGTTATTCTCTTCACATGCAAGAAACAAAGGCTCCCTAAGGCTACCTCTAGGAGGAAGTTTTATTGTAAGAACACACATGGGATGGGTTTAGAAATCTCAATTCTTGAGTTAACGTCCAAGGATTCCAGGAAAATGCAGTCCTCTCGTAAAAAACAGGAACCTCACAAAAGCCCAGCTTCCTGGAAACTAACTGTAGTTGAGAGTCATGCAGGATCTAACACAGCCCTAGCAAACAAATTATCTCTTTGCTGTCTTTGCAGCAGAGACCTGCTAATATCTTCCCTACTTGAGTGCACCTGTGCTTCTGCTCCCACACCCACTAGTCTATGTCTGCTGTGTCTATGGGGCGCAAGTCCAATGGCTGGAGACGTTTGTAATTGCGTAATTGCTCTAATGAGTCATTATTTCGCTCAAGGCAAAGCTTTTATACCAAACTACTTCACACTATCTATATTTCAAACCATTCCTCATTCTACTTACATGTTAGTTGTCCTTATGGGGTACCCAACTCTGGCCTCATCATTTGTAACCAGGGCGATAGGGTCAGAATATGGGTACTTCGATGGAACCATTTATGGCTCTTTTGGTTGCCATGGGCGGTGGTTGTGACGGACATTCCCAGAAGTAAAAGACTCAAGTTGAAGCATTTGTTCCAAAAGATATATTTAGATTTAAAACACATACATAAACACACACACACACACACACACACACACACACATACTAATTAATTCATGACTAGGGCTACAAAATATTATAGTTTATTAAATCATAGCAAGTATGGTTTAAGTGTATTTCCTATAGGATCCTCATTTGTATTTCCTTATAGAACTGTATCATTCTTAATGGAGATAGCTTCAGTGGCTTCTTCTGACACATAAGAGAGAGAAAACCACAGAGGCTAAGAGACTCCTATTAAGGTTTCTCCTCAGTCATGAAAGTAGAATCCAGAACTCCAGGCAGTGGGGGTCTTTTATTTCACATTCACTTCACACCTTAACTTCATTTTTACATTTCATCTTCTTTTATTTTCTAAAACCGAAACTGTAAAATGAAAAAAAAAAAAAGAAACTCAATAACATGAGTTCTCAAATTCTCTATTTAAATCTTCCTCTCTTAGCTTTAGCTCAGTTAATGTTTGGGATGCCACAGCCCCTGACCTCACTCATTATAGCCCTGCTGGCTTTGCCCTGTTCTCTGGTTTCTGTCTGCATCACTACAGATCCTGATTAACAATCTTGATAACGTGTGTCGCTAGACACATGGAGCATCCAGTAAATGCCTCCGTTATGGAAAAACACAGCAAAACACCTTCACGTAGGCAGGTGGGTGATTATAACATCTTTAGTCAAAGCACAAATTTAACCAAATAAAGATACTGAAGGTACTTCATTATTTTTTCTTTGCCAATTCACTATGACTAAACTTAAAAGGGTTATAAATTCACACAAAACTGAATGACAAATTTAATCATTTTTCTTACTAAATTAACATTTTAACTACTAACAGGCACATACATAGCTTATATGTTTAATGATTACTCTCACCTTATATAACTTTTTCCTTATATAGTTGCTAAGATCTTATTCCCTCTGGAAAAAAGACAATGACATTTTACTCCTTTCCCAGTCTAAGGTGCTAACCATACTTATTTTTCATTTTTTTTCTCTGATATTTGAGTCATTTATACGCCAAATTCTTATGGAAAAGGAGAAGAAGTGCATTGTTTTTCATGCCTAACAAATAATTTAATTAAAACTCATCTCATCTGGTCTCAAAACTGAATCACTTTTTATCAGGAGGAAGCCTGGACCAAAACCTATTGCAAAGAAGAACTGGAGAAAATTGAGAAGCAAATAATGCAAGAAAACTCACATTGATGCCAGACTGATTTGGATACATTATCCAGTTCATCATATTACAACCAATGATTTCACCGTATCTTGCTAATTTTTCTCTGCAATAATCTTTAAAGAGATTCTTCTGCCTAGAAAGATGAATGGAGCTAAAAGTACAGCAAAGCAATCTCGCAGGACACGTCATATCCTGATTTAGACCAAACTGCTTTTGGGAAGCTATGGAAGGTTACAAAAAGTGACCAGTTAACAAGACAAATTAAAGAAATTAAAAGGAGTCATGTTATCCTAATCAGAGAGTAGATTTTAAAAGGTGTGTGTGTTTAAAATCTAATTCTCTTTGAGGAATTTCAGTGGCCGAAATCTTAGTGCATTAATGATAACAGGTAGGTGTAGGCTCTGTTTATCCTAAACTCAGACATACGAAAGGAAAGAAAGATTAATCTGATAAAGGCATCACTATTTCTAATCGGACTGATGGGAAAATGCAGTACAGGGTGTGAGAGGAAATGTCGGGTGAATTATAGTGAAGTGATGAACTACTCTGAAGACGAAGCAATCAAATAGATAGCTCTAAAAATTACTACAGCATCTTTATTCAACAGTTTGGTGTAAGTGTCCCCATCTTGGCCTTTTTTACAAAGAACAGAAGCACTTTGTCATATTTGGTGAAATTAAATCTTAACAGGAGAGCCTCATCTACGGCTGCTAACCTTCACTTACCAAAATTAAACACCAGAATGTCATTTCCTATCTAAAAGGAGGAGATGAAATTTTGATAATATCGTCAATTCACAAAATAGTTAAAAACCCAAGAGAAGAATTAGCAAACACTTTTAAAATATTCTATCACATCTTTGTGTCTTTGCATTGCACATCATTTTAAATTAAAAATAATATGAAACATTTGCTACTCATCCTTGTCTTTCTGTATATAATAATTTAGCAAGTAATTATTTTGTCTTCAGAAAAAAAGATAATTGTCTTTAAATTATTATGATTAAGTAGAATAAAGTCAAGATGTTTTTGTAATTGGTGGAGTAAATAGTCCCTATTGCAGTATTTTGTTTTAACACTTTGCTTTTTGCCTGATTACATAAAAACAACAAAAAATGGAAATAAAAAGAAGTGTCCCCCAAAAAGTACTCATAATCTCACCACCCAGAGATAACCACCAACATTTTTGCAGTATACAAAT